TCGATGATGCCTTGTATCATGTTCTTAGGATGCATGTTAGTCTTTATGATTGTTCTATGATATCAAGCATGTTGTTATGTCTCGAGTCTTGATCTTGGTTTAAAGCTAGAGTTGCTTAGGCTATATATGTATTCTAGTTTCAAAATGATTTTCCTGTATCTACCTATATTGTACTTAACGCATTGGAGTGGGTTACCAGCATTATTCGCTGATGGTTGTTACACCGTATGTTTTTCAGGTGCTGACTTGTATCTTCGGAGCGCGTTAGATAGACTCACGGAGAGCAACCACCCCTGTTAGTTCTGCTTTGTTTGGATGATTAATGATAGATTTGCCTTTATTTCATACGCTTTAAATGTTTTAAAAATTAGGGGTGTTACAGTGAGATTGTGAGTTTATTCATCACTTTTGATAAGTTTCCTATGTTTGTTCTTCGTTTTCTATACTTGCTCTAAAGTTGTGATATTCTTTTACATTCTTTGATTAATAATGATTTACCTTGGCATGCTAAAACTTGATAGACTATTGATTTTGTTTAAATGTCGTTCTTGGTTATATGCCTAAGCAAAAGTTGGATTATTTTCCTAATTGATTTGTTTATAAACCGGCTAGGGACTTACATATTGCCACTTGATTATTTGATCAATGTGCGTCATTTGGATATTTGTTATTTGATAAAATAATCTGGAACCTGCGATTGATAATTTTGGCCTATAATTGCTCACCTTTCTTAATTGTGATTGTTCAATTATTCTAATAGTTAACTTACTTGTAGTTTGATAAGTACTTGCATGAGTTTGCATGAAGGCTGTGGGAACGTAACTTTAATTCTCAAGAGGGGAGGGGGGGAGGGGGGGAGGAATGTGATGTGTGATCCTTATGATGTATGGAACTTTCATGCGGTCAATTTGGTGGTAAAGCAGGCAGGGAGCATTGCTTCGGAGGGATAAGGCTGATGGCGTACAGGGTGGCCTAGAGGTACAGGTTGGAACTGATATAAGGATGGAGAGGATAAAGATTGGAACTTGGTATAAGGTTGGAACATAGACGTGTTATGTTGTTGATTGTTTGTCGTTGTTGTTGTGTCTTGTGGTCTTATTGTTGTTCCTATTGTTGTCTTGTCTCGTGTTCATGGTCCGCATGCTTGTATCGTAATGTTGTCGTGTCATGTCATTGTTAATGGTATGTCATGAGTCCTTATCCTTATTTGAAAGCTAGAGTTGTTTAGGACTATATTTATGTATTCCCAAACCTCAAAATGGTTTTCTTATATCTATATAATGTACTCCACGCGTGTGAGTGGGTTACTTAGCATTATTCACTAACGGTTGCTACACCGCATGTTTTTCAGGAACAGATTAGTTGGTTCGTGAGCGCGCAAGACGAAGCTGTGGTTCCTAGCTTAGTTAGTAGTTAGCTTTAGTTTGACAGCCTGTGAGCCATTTTGTATTCGAATGATATTTATGGATTATGATTAGTTGGTTAGTAGCCTGTGCATCTAGGCTCTCTAGCTTGGATGTGGCATAACACCCCTAAACCATTATGCTTAGATTTTGCTTATTTGTGTATTAATGATAGACTTATTCTTATTTCGTAAGATTTAATTGTAGTAAAAATATGTTGAAAATCGGGGGTGTTACAGGTGGCCTCTCTGCTAATACGGAAAAAAAAGGGACAGAGAATGGAACTCGGGCGTGAAAAGAAGGGGAGGAGGAGGAAACTGACCGAACACGGACTTGGGAAACTCGGGAGAAAGCTTGCATCCTTGAGAGAGCTTGAGAGAGTTTCTTGGGGTGTTTGGGGGGTGTATGACCGAAAAGGGGGAGAATGGGGTATTAAATAGAGAGTGTTGGGAGAATGAGGGGGAAAGAAGAGGAGGGAAGGGTTGACCAAATTTTGAATTTCAAAAAGAGGGTATGGGGAAGAGAGAAAAGTTGATGGTGATGTGAAAGGGATTTGATGGAATTTGATGGAATTTGATGGGTGTGATCGTCAAGACTTTTAGAGGGAAAGAGTTGCACTCTTTTATAGGGATTCCATCATATCTGAAGAGGATTTCAAAGAGGAAGAGTTCTATTCGCAATAGGATTTTATTTTGGCATGGTCGGCTGATTTTTGGACTCGGGGCATTCGTGCAAGGAGGTCGGGTCGAAGCATGCTTACTCTCTTTCGTTGTCGACTTATCGCAACGAACAGAGTGGAGAACTCATGATGGATATATTACGACCGGAACAAACCGACCCGGGGAGGTAGAGCAATACCCGAGGCCCTTGAGGTTGAACCCCATGCTCGGCCCAAAGCCTTGGCTCTATAGGCCTCGACCCATGAGGCCTCAACTGGGACAGGTACTGACCCCAAAGGGGTCGGCCATAAGCGAGCACGGCTAGAAATAGGGCCGACCAGGGAACCGGTCAAAGGGAAGGCCCCGGGCACGGTCAACGCAGATCTAACCTACCTCGCTATTCTAGGGGGTAGTTAAGGCGTATAACTTGTATACAAGCCTCCCATCTTCTCTCGTTAAGACACGTTCACTACTTTTCCACTACTATTGTCCTAACGAATCGTTGTAATAGCCTACCTATTATTATAATATAATATATGGTCCCCACGACCTTGCGACACCGTTTCATCTACTTATGTATTTCCATAATACGCTCTTTATCAGGTTTAGTAATTTGGGTCCACCCCGGGTAATAAAATCCATCAATGTCAATCGAAAGTAAAAATGAAGGAAAATAAAATGTGAAAGCAGTTGTAGTATAACTATGTAAAAAATGTAGCATAATATCCATAAAAAGAGGGCCAGGGATGTATATTTTTTTCCCCATATTTCAATCTCAAATATCTAAATATTCTCTCTACTTTTAATTTTCATCTCAAGAATGAATTCTGTTTCTCCATTAAAATATCCCTCCTAAAGAGGGTAATTGTCATTTAGCGAAGGTGCTACCACCTCAACATCCGGTCCCACTATGTTCTTGGCCTTAGACAATTGGTGGGGAGTGTGGCGTTCCAAGGTGGAGCGTGGAATGTGTGGATCAAGGTTGGTATATTCTACCAGGTCGAGCTCGGTAACTTGGAAAGGAAGAAAGACCATCTACGGGCTCCTCGGGGAGGTCGGTGACTTCGTTCCCAGGGGAAGGAAATTCGCCCATGGAGTTGGAGTCGTCCATTCCGACCTCACTCTCGTCAATAAAGTCTAGGACACTAAGATCAAAACTAGTGGACATGCAAAGGAGGCAAAACGAGAGAGGAGCACAATGGTGGCTTCTCGGCCAAGGCGAAAAAAAAAAGGAGAGAGAAAGGAACTTGGGCGTGAAAAGAAGGGGAGGAGGAGGAAACTGAACGAACACGTACTTGGGAGACTCGAGATGTGGCTTGGAGACTCAGGAGAAAGCTTACAACATTGAGAGAGCTTGAGAGAGTTTCTTGGGGTGTTTGGCGAAAAGGGGGAGAATGGGGTATTAAATAGAGAGTGTTGGGAGAATGAGGGGTAAAGAAGAGGGGGAAAATGGTTGACCAAATTTTGAATTTCAAAAAGGGGGCATGGGGAAGAGAGAAAAGTTGATGGTGATGTGAGAGGGATTTGATGGGTGTGATCGTCAAGACTTTTAAAAGAGTTGCACTTTTATAGGGATTCCATCATATCTGAAGAGGATTTCACGGCAGAAGAGTTCTATTCGCGATAGGATTTTATTTAGGCGAGGTCGGCCAATTTTTGGGCTTGGGTTGGAGCGTGCTTACTCCATTTCGTTGTCGACTTATCACAACAAAGAGAGTAGGGAACTCGTGATGGATATATTACGACCAGAGCAAACCGACCGGGGGAGGTAGAGCAATACCCGAGACCCCTGAGGTTGAGCCCCGTGCTCGGCCCAAGGTCTTGGCCCATGAGGCCTCGGCCCCGAGGCTTTAACTGAGACAGGTACCAACCCCAAAGGGGCCGGCCATAAGCGGGCTCGGCCAGAAATAGGGCCGACCAAGGAACCAATCAAACGGAAAGGCCCGAGGCTCGGGGCTCAGGTCCCGGGCGCGGTCAACGCGGATCTAACCTACCCCGCTATACTAGGGGGTGGTTAAGGCGTATAGCTTGTATAAAAGCCTCCCATCTTGTCTCGTTAAGACACGTTCACTACTTTTCCACTACTATTGTCTTAACGAATCGTTGTAATAGCTTGCCTATTATTATAATATAATATACGGTCCCCGTGACCTTGCGACACCGTTTCATCTACTTATCTATTTCCATAATACGTTTTATATCGGGTTTAGTAATTCGGGTCCATCCCGGGTAATTAAATCCATCAATGTCAAACGAAGGAAAAAAAATGTGAAAGTAGTTGTAGTATAACTATGTAAAAAATGTAGCATAATATCCATAAAAAGAGGGCCAGGGATTTATATTTTTTTTTTCCCATATTTCAATCTCAAATATCTAAATATTCTCTCTACTTTTAATCTTCATCTCAAGAATGAATTCTGTTTCTCCATTAAAAAGTATCCCTCCTACAATCATGCTCTCTTCTTTTCCCAACATCTCTCCATTAGGAATTCTCTTGCCACTGCTTCAAGTTTCTGGAATTGGGTGTAAGTATAACACCTCTCTCTTCGGAATTATGCTAATACTTCTAAGCTTTCCTATATGAATTTTTTGTTTTCCTCAGCTCCTTTTTGATTGATAAATTAGTAAATTATTTTTTCATTCTTAATCTGCTTTTTTTTTTTCTCTTATTGTTTTTATGCATTTTGATTTTTTGATGAAGCATATATTGAAATTTAAGAATCAAGTGTTTGAGTATATATTGTTTGTTTGTGGTATTTTATGATGTTATTCCAATGCAATTGTGATCTAGTTCCATGTGATCTATATATATAATATGATCTGATCTGGTTTAGTTTATGCAAAATGCATGAATCTTAATTTGATCATAATCAACTATCAGCTGTATATGAATCTGATCTGTTTTAATTTATACAAAACGCAGGAATAATCTTAGCTTGATCATAATCAGCTATCAGCTAACTTAATCAACTATCCACCATTTGTCAAAATATATAATAATGTTGAAAAAGTTGTCTCTTGTGAATATGCCCTCAACAACGGCAGTTCTATCAGCGTACACCTCACTCACCGCGTCTGCTTTCCTGATCAGAACATTTGTGAGTGAGTTCCAAACCATAGCCAACCAACTCTTGCCCGAAGAAATCCGAGCAAAAATTCTGTCTAAAATTGGGGGCCTATTTGGCAACTTCTTCTTCTTCACTACTGCCCAAATGAGTGTGGTTATTGATGAACATAATGGTTTCCACATAAACAACGAAATCTTTGAAGCTTCCGAGGCTTATCTCAGAACAAAGCTAAGCCCCTCATCAAAAACGGATAGGCTTGTGGTGTTCAAGACTCCACAGGAGAAGAGCTTCTCGTTCATCATCAGCACAGGAGAGAAGATAATAGATAAATTTGAAGGCGTAGAATTCATCTGGGAATTGAAAGTCTCTGAATCTCAGAAGCCTGGTCTCGATTATGATGGTAATGTTGCGAATATAATTGTGAGTGTACTCCACATATATTTTGTTAGGCGGATGTTGAGCGAAGGCCGATAAAAGGTAAAAAGGCTAAGTCCACCACCCAATGTCTCGAAAATGTTATGACGGTCTATAAGAAAATAAAGTTGCGTCTTCACTACTAACTATAACTTTTGGTGTAAGTAGTAAGCGCTTGACTCTAATGAGTGGTATCAAAGTCATAGCCAAGTCCCTCATCAACGACGCATAGGCTTGTGGTGTTCAAAGCTCTCCAAGAGCAGCAAGTTATACCATGGATCAGGGTTTACCTTACATTATAGAGTCTGATCCAAAACTAATCTTCAGATTCTGTATCTATAATTGACACATTCTGTACCTGCATTTGATAGTTTCTGTATCTGTAGCTATCATATTATGTGTCGACAATTATCAAGTCAAATTCTGTATCTATAATTGACACATTCTGTACTTGCAGTTGATAGTTTCTGTACATGTAATCATATTATGTGTTCGCAATTATCAAGTTATTTGTTTACATGTACAAAAATTGTTAATGGTAGGTACAGAATGTGTTAACTGAAATGTATATAATTTTTGTATTAGGGTTCACAATACAATATGAACCCTGGTCCATGGCATAATGTCCAAGAGCGGTACGGGTGGAGTAAAAAGACAAAGTCTGTCCAGCACCCAGCCTCTCAAAAATGTGATGGCAGTTTTCACTGCTACTAGCTATAACTTTTTACCTAAGAAGTGCTTAATTTAACATATTTGCTATTTTTTCCAACAGGTAATCCACGTTCAGAAAGTGCAGAACGTAGAGCATTTGAACTCATCTTTAACCAGAAATGCAGAGAAATGGTGTTCAGTTCATACATACCATTTGTGCTGGAAAAATCAAAGGCCATACAAGAGGAAAACAAAATTATAAAGATCTACTCTCTTGGGGACTGGTATGGAGAAGTTAATCTGGACCATCCCTCCACGTTCGAGACACTGGCCATGGATCCCGAGCTCAAGAAGGAGTTGATTGAAGATTTGGACAGGTTTGTTTGTTTTTTTGTTTTTTTTTTTTTTTTTTTTAGTTCAGACTAATCTTTATTCGTATTGTGCTGACCCGGTCCAATTAAGGGGCAAATTGCGGACAAGATTAATTTTTTCATACAAAATGGATTTGAACTCCAAACCTCAATTGTTATACCCTGTATCACGGTGCGCGTAGCACTGTGCACCCCGCGCCTCTCAAAACGACGTCGTTTTGGGAGGCGCGATAAGAAGTTGACGTGATTATGTGCATTTGTTTATACAATTATGTGTATTTGTTTATATAATTATGTGTATTTTTATACAGTTATGTGTGTTTGTTTATACAATTATGTGTATCAGGATGCACAATGCAATACGCATCCTGGTGGACGATATAAATTGCCTTCAAACCTCTCTTAAAGAATGAGAGTGTTCAGTCAGTGACACTAACTAAATTGGTTTTGGACAGGTTTGTTAGCCGAAAAGATTACTACAGGAGAGTTGGGAAGGCATGGAAAAGAGGGTACTTATTGTATGGGCCTCCAGGAACTGGTAAGTCAAGCTTGATAGCGGCCATGGCCAACTATCTCAGATTTGACGTCTACGACTTGGATCTCTCATCCCTAAATGGCAGCTGCGACATTCAAAGATTACTAGTCAATACTAAAAACCGATCAATTATAGTGATTGAGGACATTGATTGCAACGTCCAATTGCAGAACAGAAACGCCGATGAAGACGAAGAATACTCTCCTCCTCCTTACAACTCGCAGGGCGATAAAAGTAAGGTATTGTTTAAATTTTTAGCATAAAATAATATTTTAGTTATTTTGTGATACAAATATATGTGAGTTCCACTCTCGATTTGAGTCTGATCAATGTGGGTTGTACGCTCAAAATGAATAATAGGTGAATGAGAAATTGATTTTCAAAGTCGACTCATTTGAATTGAAAAATGTAGATGGAAAGATTTGAAAGAAGCACTTGTCTCACATTGAATTGGGAAGTGAATTTGCCAGACCCTTTTAGGAGGAATTTGAATTATATTCATTGCCATTTGTTTTTACCTTATGAAAATATTTTTGTTTTCTCTCTTCCTCTTGCAGTCTTTTTCCTATAAAAAATTTTGCCCACATTTCCGATAAAATTCCTTTGTTTATATATTTTCATAGACCATATACCAATTTTGGTATCACAAATATTAGCAAAATGACAATTTTGGTTCTCATGTTTAATTCCTATCAATTTTCATCCACAACTATTGTTTTAATGTCAAAATTAATCACGCTAGTCACCCTTCCGTTTAGGACATATATGCCGGAATATGAAATTATTAAGGACATTTTCATTCTTTCATAAGATCATAGTTTGAACATGAATAAAGTTATTTAAGTCCTAAGATTTTGGAAGATTATGAGTTCAAGCCTCAGTGGAGGCGTTATTGGTTCTTTGTGTTTCAGTAGGTTGAGAAAGTATATGAACAGATACTACAATGTAATAGAGCCAGTAACTTTCAAAAAAAAAAAGTCCTAAGATTTTAATTCGATGTTCTCTTCCTCATCCTAAGATCTAAATTCGTCATTCTCCTCCGCATCTTTCATTTAAGAAGGATGAGGAGGAGAACGACGAATTGAAATCTTAAAGCTTAAATCCCTATATTCATATTAAAATTTGGATCTTAATTAAGAAAATATTTTTTCTTTCTCTCTCACTCTTCTAACCTTTTTCTTATAAAAAATTTTGCACACACTTTCAATAAAATCCCTTTTTGTTTATATATTTTTATAGACCAAATATCAATTTTGGTTACACAAGTATTAACAAAATGACAATTTTAATCTCATGTTTAATTTTTATCATTTTTTTTTTGTTTTAGTGCCAAAATTAATCACTTAGTCACCCCTCATCCTAAGATCTCAATTCTTCATTTCTCCTCCTAATCTTTCATTTAAGAAGCATGAGGAAGAGAACAACGAATTGAAATCTTAGAGCTTAAATCTCTTTATTCATAATAAAATTGGGATCTTAATTATAAAAGGACAAGAATGCCTTTAATAATTTCAAATTTCAGCATGTCCTAAACAAAGAGGTGACCGGCACGATAAATTACAAAATTGTCATTTTGTTAATGCTCATGGGATCAAAATTGGTATTTACTCTATTTTTATACTCGCTTCGTCTCATTTTATGTGTCTGGTTCAGTTAATTACTTATAATCCAATTTTTCATAATATTAAGTTTAGTATTAGTATACAAAATTTATATATTTAGAAATTACACTAAAAGTATTATTAAACAAAAAAAAAAGATTAAATTTTAGAATAAGCAAAAAAAATACTATAAAAAAACATAAAAAATGGTTTGATGGGAGGTCTAGGTTTCGAACCTCGTTGTAGGCGTAGTTTGTATGGGTATCCTCCTTCCTTTGTAATAAAAAAAAAAAAAAAATAAATAGTAAGTGTGTCCGATAAAATAAGGTATTTTGGTTTCCAACTACAGGTATCTCTGTCTAGTTTGCTGAATTTCATTGATGGACTGTGGTCATGCTGTGGCGACGAGAGGATCATCGTCTTCACATCAAACTACAAGGATAGATTAGACCCTGCACTACTCAGGCCAGGAAGAATGGACATGCACATCCACATGTCCTATTGCACTCCAACTGGATTTAGGGTTCTTGCATCAAACTACCATCACCTCAAAGATCACTTCAAGTTCGCCAAGATCGATCAACTTTTAGCCCAAGTGGATGTGACACCAGCTGAGATTGCAGAAGAGCTGATGAAGAGTGACGAGGCAGATGTTGCCCTTAAAGGATTGGTTAAGTTTATGAAAAAGAAAAAAATTGCACATCATAATGATAATGATGATGATAATGCTAATGATGATGATGGTGATGCTGAGTTGAAGGTAGGAGGAAGTGAGAGTGGTGGAATCAGTGATGTAAGCAAGATAGTAGCTGAGAAGAGTGGGAAGAAAAATAATAATAAGAAGAGAAAGAAGGCGAAGAAAATGGGTAGAAACTTCAACCATTCTTGAGACAAAAGGTGAAATCGAGCCCAACCTGATTCGAGGGATAAATCAATTGATCATTACTCGTTAGATTTGATCATTGATTTTTTGTGATAAATTTCACTTTTACGATCAGATGAGTTGCAATCATTCATAACTTTACTTCACTCCCCGAGTATTTTAGAAGCACTGATTAGAACCCAACAAATCTATTAATAACTAGTTGAGCTGATTATATAATAACTATGAACCGATTTGTTAGACAAAATTTTCTCTTTTTTTTTTTTTTTTTTTTTTTTTTTTTTTTTTTTTGGGATTTAATGTAATAATTGTTCTCTTTATTATATTTACTAGTAACTAGTAACTAGTGTATGCCACTATGGCACTATGCCAGTGCATCACCCTGGTTTCTTTTCTTTTTCTTTTTAGTTTTTTTTTTTTTAAATAAAATTGTTATTAATAAATTTTATAGAATAATAAATGTTTTTTTTCACATAATAGTTTATGTTATAAATATTATTGTTTTATGGCCATTATCTCCCACTAACCCATGATTTTCCCTATTTATGATCTTATTAAGTTGTAACTGTTATCCTTATGATGTATATATGTTTAATTCAATGATTAATGAGAATGGGATCATTTTCTGGAGTTTATTCATTCTTGTTTTTTCTATTTTTTCCCTTTCGTGGATACCACCAAAACATAAGAGCTTGATGATATCAGTTCATGTCTAAAGACGGAGTTTTTGAAACAAAAGCTTGGGAAATCTAAGTTTTATCTCGACTTGAAGATCGAGTTTTTCCTTGAATGAATTTTATACACCAATTAGCCTACATTTAGGAATGCTTTTCACCTGTCTATATGGTTAAGGATCATGTTTTTGTCAAACTATAGGTTGCATAATAATCTCTTGAAGTAGATAAGGAACCGTTCAGACTCGGTAAGGATATCTTAACAGTCCTTTACTTCATTGTCGTTGGAGCACCTTTTTAGAACCAGAAGTTTCATAACCGCAACATGCATGATATTTGCGATGAAATTGCTACCAATCTAGGTCTCCTTTTACAATGAAATATTGAAATAGTGTTTAATATATTCTCCAAGTTACAAAAGAGTTTGCCATTTATATGAGAAACAAATGTATGGTTTTGATAGGCTGCTTATTTGCTATTTTGTTTGATCCCTGTGATGCTAAATTCCAAACTGGTTAAACAATGAATTACTCCCAATGTCTCGAATGAGGACAATAAAGCTTGAGTTGCACAAATAATATATGAGTATGTTAAAGACTATTCACAAAGCATATATAGCGTTAAAATTCAACCAATACGAGCTCTAGAAGAGTCACAAAATTATTGGCAAGATATTCACTCTAGTGACAATCCAGAAGATTTGACTAATCCACTTCTACAATTTCGGATATATATCTTATGTGTGGATTTGAAGATTGTCGTCTTGAGTGGGAGTATCATTTTACATGAATCAATCTTGAAGATTGGATCTTGATGACTAACGACTGTACTTAGGGCTGAGCAAAATCCAAAAAAAAAAACCGAGAAACCCGACCGAACCGCTACTGCGCCAAGCATAACCGAACCGAACCGCTACCTGAATTCTTAAAATCGAACCGTCATTTAAAACGACGTCGGTTTATGGCATTCGGGTAGGGGGGGGGGAGGGGGCAAATTCAACCTGATCCGTCCGAATATCCGATTAAAAGTAGGGTTACGTATGTAGAGTGCAATACGACGTCATTTAGTCTTAGTATGTATGTATATATATATATATATATATATATATATATATATATATATATATATATATATATATATATATATATATGTTGATATGCAGAAGTCTTCAGTTCTCTTCTCATTTGCGCAGCCAGTCTCTTCTCTTAGGGTTTCCAGATGAGACCTTCTCTTCTCTGAGTTCTCTCTATGCACAGTCACACCTTGCGATTTTAGTCCTCACTCCTCAGTTCTCTCTTCTCTCTTCTCTACTAAACAGAGACTACTTCTTTATAGTCTCTACTCTCCTTGTCTGATTGGTTCTAGTTTGTACTTCTGTTATAGTCTTCTAGAGTTCTAGACGACGAAACATTGGAATTGAGTGGTGGTCACTGTTGGAAGCCCTAAGGCCCTGACTGGTGTAGTGGTGTTGTGGTGGACCGTGGACTAGTGGTGTCGTCGACTTCCAGTATACAGAAGCCCTCGTTCTCCGGGGTATTTGTGAGAAACGAAGTAACTCGCTGACCCTATTTTTATATATTTGCAGTTCTTAAATTTATTGTGATATATTATGTGGTCTATGTGATATTCTAGTGGAAGCACTGACTTTGTTACTGCAAAATGCAAACCCTAGTTTTGTAAAAGTTGTTTGCTAAATTTATTGGCATATTACTCTAAGTATATTGCAAATTTGTGATCTATTTTGTGTCTCTGACTCTCCGTGATATTGTGGTGGAAGCACTGACTTTTTATTAAAACCCTAGTGTTATAAAATTGATTTCAGAATGTGTGAATGTGTGATATGTTCTGTGACATTCTGGTGGAAGTACTGACTGTGATAAATTTGATTTGTTATAATGTTATATCCCTTAAAGGCTTAAATTGGTGGAAGCCCCCACAGAAATAATTTTAATGATGTTGATGAAATGAGTTGTATACATATTATAACAGTCTCTATTCATCTGGATATTTAAAATATATCCCTGAATCTGTATTTCTTTGTATTGTCTGTTTATGGATGAATGCCCTTAATTGTATTTGTATATTTGTATATTTAATTATGCATTCCTGTAAAATGATGACACAAAATGTGTCTGATTCTGGAATGATTAAATGCTTTCATCAGTTTCATACATTGTTGTCTCATCTTGAATATGAATCCTACTTTGTGTACTGATAGTTAACCATTTTTTAGATGGAAAATATTAGTATGCCTGGTAGTCAATCTCCCAACTCTTCAACTGAGGGAAATACAGGGTTAGAAGCCCAAACTGTTGAGCAAAATAATCAACAGAATGTGCAACCTCCTGCAGTTCCTGATAAGAAGAGAAAACAAGTTGATTCCAGATCTAAAGTATGGGATCATTTTGAGAAAATAAAAGACAGTAATGGTGTTACTGTGAAAGGAAAGTGTATTTATTGTGCAAAAGTATATCACTGTAAGAGTAAAAAACATGGTACATCTTCCTTGAGAAACCACATGATGAGTTGTATGCAGAACCCTCACTCCAAGGATACTAGGCAGTCCCTTTTAACATTTCAAGCTATTACATCTTCTGATTTATCTCAACCTTCTGTGGGGAAAATAGGGACCTGGGTATTTAATCAAGAATCAATTAGGAGGGCCTTGGTTGAAATGATAATCATAGATGAAATGCTATTTAGATTTGTGGAGGGAATAGGCTTCAGAAGGTTCATTGCTATTGCTTGCCCTAGGTTTATAGTTCCATCTAGATGGACTATAAGTATGGACATCCTAGTCGTCTATGAAGAAGAGAGACTGAAATTGAAGGCATTCTTAAGAGGAAACAGCCATAGGGTTAGTATCACCACTAACTCATGGACATCCATCCAAAGGATTAACTACATGGTAGTTACTGCCCATTTCATTGATTCTGAGTGGAAGCTCCATAAAAAAATCTTGGCATTTATCCCTATTACCTCTCATAAAGGTGAATATCTAGCCAAAGCCCTAGAAACTTGTTTGCTTGAGTGGGGGCTTAGGAATGTTTTGAGTGTGACTGTTGATAATTGTAACACCCCCGATTTTTCAACATTTTTAAAACTTAAATTTCAAAGGTAAACATCTAATCATCAAGATAAACAACAGCGGAAACTTAATTAAAATCGGAGAGATGTTATGCCACACCCATAAACCACGGGTGCACAGGCTAGACAACCACAATCTAACAAAATTAACAATTCTATGGCTCACAGACCAACAAAGGATAAACGTCTAGCATGGGATCTATACTATCTAAGTTCACATCTAGCGCGCTCGGCATCTACTCAAAACCTGTAAAAATCAAGGGATAACACCCGGTCAGCGAATAATGCTGGTAACCCATCAATACGCGTTAAATAGCATAGTATAGATAGATATAATCAAAACCATTTGGAACGGGAATACAATATATATCATTTCAAAACCAAGGAAGGAAGTCAACATCAAAGACTCATCAATCACTCTCAAAAGAAACGAGGATCATCATCCTCACAATAACACAAGACCACAAACATGAAAGACAACACAACTCAAGATGCATCCTACCGTTCACAAGGTAGAATACATCAAGACATGCTCATAAGCAAGGAAATCACATTCACACAGTGACAACTACATGTCACAAATTTCATAGTTTCAACCTTATGCCCTGTTCCAACTTTATGGCTACCCCCGGCCTTATTACAATTCCAACCGTTACCTCCTAGTGCAACCCTGTACTTCTGAGTCCAACCTTTTGCCTCCGGGGACCGTCTCCCCCCCCCCCCAACACACCTATTCACCACCGATCTCTCAGTACACGAGGGTACCATTAATTTCACATTCACAAAACCGCCAATCTCGTGAGCAAAGCTCAAGTAACAAACCACCAATCTCAATCATAGTCACACAAGGTCATCATCATTACCAAGAAGACTAAGGCTCAACAATATCCTCAGTCACGTATCAACAAAGGGTACAACAATTTACATAAGATCACATCATAGGAATCAATTAAGAGATCATAATAAAGACATGAGACTATACTCAACATTCATAGGGTTACAACCCAACACCAAATGATTGTCAACACAAGTTGCCAATCTCAATAAGAAGGAACAAACCACACACACTAGCACATCAACATCAAACTAGCATGCTTGTCAAACGGGTAAACCAAAATTAGTTCCAAAGAACATTCAAGACTCATATTAGCTCAACGAATCACAAAGTTGGACCCTTAGCACGATTCAAGACACCAAATCCTACATGGATTCCTAACACACCATTCTAGACATACGAAACATCAAGAAGACTCACAAATAGCCCAATAAATCAACAACAGGAGGTTAAAACATCAATACCGAGAAG